AACAAACAATACAATCATATATTCTTTAAATCGAGAACATTATGTTTTCGAAGTTTCAATATTTTTAATAACCTAGGACAGGTCAGATTGGTCATGTAAAAGAAAGTATTGTGAAATATCAGATAGAAAATGTATCATCAACAAGAATCATGATTAGGCTGATTCTGCGCCATCACACTAACATACTACCTCATTTACCGAGATCACCAAAACTAAAACATGGCAAGTTAAGCATAGTGTTAGGATTAAAGCAATTGGCTGCCCCCTAGCACTACACCTCTAAAGCCATCTCATTACTTATCATTTATTCTCACGAATAGAGTTATATAGTTGTGAATGAAATAACAATTTTTAGGTACTGGTGGTAGTAAAATGGTCAATTAGCCATTCAAAGTCGCCAACCCCTTTTAAAAAATACTGCCAATAGTAAGCACAATGGCGTTTATTCTGACGTTTTATACTCTGAGGAGTGTTGGACGAAAAAGCTTTAAATAGTATGCTGTGAAATGTTTGCTTTTTTCAAAGCCATTTTCAAGTTCTGTACCTCCAAAAAACTGCTTATATTTAGTTCAAATTCACCAAAAGCATTTGCCTAACGATTCGAATTTTTCTTGCCTCTTATTGTGTTTCATGAATCTTGATTTTCATAGACAGAATACTTTCATTTTGAGAAATGATATTTCGGGAGAGGCAAATTTAGGGGTCGTAACGGTGAATTCTCCTAAAATCTATTCGAAGACCATTCCCTATGGATGCTCATACAGTGCTATATTTTTGCATAGTTGTCGATTTGTTCATGCAATGAAATCAAAAGTCGAGGTGGTATTTCTTGAGAAACCTTGAACTCAAAATGACAAGATAGGTTTAGAAGTGACTGTGAGTTATTTTGCGACACATTCGCAACTAAAGATGAGAGCATAGGGAAATGGAAAAGATTGTGTAAGATTTACGTCAAAGTTGGCGGATGTTTACACTCTTTTTTATGAGAACAATTTTATAAGAACACGAGCCTCAAAACTGGTCAAAAATCAAATAAAAACACATCAAGAACAAGCTGAGGCTAAAATACTGTTAAATGGAATTTTCTCAAAAACGAGGATTTTAGCCATGTGTGGGTGCTTTTTCTGTGAATATTTAAACTCGTCGGCAAATGAAGGCTGTCTCACTCACTTTGTTGGCAAATGAAGCCCAAATACCCCCACCCCTCCTCCCCCCTTCCGTAGAGCGAAAAAGCTAGCAATCACACTGCTTTCACTCTATTGGTTTAAGAACAAATTAAGAACAATCCAGCTTCAGATTTTTGAAAAATTAAGAACAGTGTGCTTGAACTTAAATTTACTGGTTCTTTTAAAAAGGGGAGTTACGTTTCTTTGGCAGTTTTCGAGAATTGATTTGAAAGTAAGTTAAACAAAAGGTCACTGCTAAATTTGCTTAGAGTAATTATCAAACCCATCGCGAATTGCATTGTTTACCGTCATTCTCGTGTTCAGGCGCCCGTGTTGCATTATGATCTGCATATGCTGAAATATTGGAACTGCTGAACTAGCATGTAGATCCTACTTGATCCTACTTTACAAATGCAGTCAACTATACGTAATTCGAACTCCCTGGGAGATCGCCAAAATGTTTGAATAACTAAATATTCGATTTATACATATTTTCAAACATTCTAAATTTTGCCTTATTTACCCCTGACATGAGCTATATAAAGTCCTTTTCTTTATAATCGCAACTTCTACTTAATTGAAAATAGAGAAAAACTTTTTGTCAGCTGGTTTATCTGGCCTTTGACAAAAATTCAACACAAAAATAGGAAACGACGTTAGTCTTTCAGGGTTCGGCACGGAGCAGATCAAGATTCCATTAGCTTATATCAGCAGAAAGCTCAAACTAGAAAATTGAGCCCCTATATAAAGAGAGGTACCACTATATAAAAAATCTTAGTCTTGAAAAAAAATTTATTTGGATGATGAGTCAAGAAGATAATGATTTGATTCAATTTCTTGAAATAAAAGTAAGGCGAGCATTCCAAAAGCGTGAAATTTGTCTACCCTTTTGAAAAATTGTGATGATCATTTTGCTGTGTATAATATAGAGGTTGTAATTTTTGTAGCCATTTGTATTAATATTTTATATTTTATATTAATATTTAGATTTACGATGTTTTGTTTTGCTGTAGTAGATTAAGGGCCATTTCGGCCTATACGTCTATTATTAATAACGTCGTATTTTCCTGAGAGGGTCGACAGAATTGCTCAAAGTAGAACAAATTCAAATTATATAGACTAGAATTACACAGGTTTCGAATAAGACAGAGTGGCTTGTAAGTCATCAGCAGGATTGACTTCGCACTGTAGGCCAATGTTCAAAAGTCTCAAGGGTCAACTGGCAAAGGTCAATTGTAGCAAAAACTTTTGTAATACAGCTTAGACCAGAAGCACAACATCATCAAATCAAACTGATTAATTATCTTTGTAGTTCAAGAAGCAAATAACATCAAATATTATGTATGAAATTGATTTAATCATTTTGTTTTTGAAGTGTTTTTGATTATATCACTTTAACTCATGAAGCAATTTTCTAAACGTGAATTGGGGCCTTGAGAGTCACCACATGTTCACAACGCATCACATTCACCCACACTATAAAATAAACAAACAATTATTTTGCCAAAACAAAATTAATGTGTTTACAAAACAAATTTGCTCAGAATTCTTTTAAATTTTCATGATTTATCTAGCTGTTTTGCTATTATCTCTTTTATTTACTGCTTATCATTTCTGTATTATATAAAGGGCACTTGAGTGAAGAATTTGCACTTTCAAGTCAAGTCTAAAGGTATCTGCTTGCTATATGACAACATCAAGAACTTCAGGTACAACTTTCTCAACTCATAACTGATCTTCATATATTTAATTAATTATAGAAATTTTATAGAATTTTTTATTGTATATATTTCGTTAAGTAGCATCAAATTTTGAAAAAACTATACTTTTCTTAGCAAAGCTTTTTAAGTATATACTTATGTTTGAAAAATTACCTCTTTAGGAATAAAGCTGAGTGATTCTAGCAAGTAGCAAATTCTATTTTTTCATTAGAAGTAGGAAATGCTAGTAATGCTAGAGACAACAAAGTCTATATTATTTTGCTTGATTTTTTTTTAAAATGTTGGTTGAAAATTTGGCTTTGCCTGCTATTTGCTCTGAATTGCATTTAAAACTAATTTACTTTCAGGAACGAAAATGAAGACTTTGATCATTTTCTGCATCGTGGCTGCTATATCGGTAAGCGTCGTTTTTCAATGCTGTAAAATTCACCAACATATATAAATTTGATCTAGTATGATAACCTGAAAAGTTCGTTTTCGTCGACAAATAGTTTATTCAAAACTTTTGCTTTGGTGTGTTGAGAGTTTGCACACACTTACTCAATTGTCGTTACGCTCTGAACAAGACATAAACCAGCCATTTCTCATTTGGATGGTAAGCAGAATTTGAAGTCTCTTTGTAGAAGCTAATCAATGCTTAGCTTTTCAAACACAAACATACTCGAAGAGCAGGATTCCTCACCTTTTAAAGCAGAAAAGAAATTATTATGATTTTATTTGTAATTCCTAGGCTGAGAAGTTCCAGATGAAATTGGAAGAGAATGGTGAAAAATTTGCAGAGGAAATCGAGGTCGATGTTGCTGGAAACACAGAGGAGATAAAGGTTCCCAAGCATCAAGACAGGATGCAAGTCGACCTTTTGAATGACTTCAATATCGTATGTCTTCCAATAAGTTTACATGACTTCATTCTAGGTTCACTTTCAATAACCTTCGACTTTCAAGCTTTTACTCTACTGACAAAATAACAAAATAACTAACCAAATTTAAAAATGGAAAATATGATATTTCAATCTTTTGATCAAAGCTTATTTCATTAACGATGTTTTTTATCTTAGCTCTAATTGATTTGAAAAATAAAAACTCGTCGTGTACAATAGAAAGTAATAAAATGCATTTTATGTTTGTTGTTTCTGATGCAATTCATTTGTTGCCAGGGTTTAAGTGCCACAAAGTTACCAGCTATCAAGAAATGCTATATATCAGCCATTGGCACAACTGAGCAAAGCCCACAGGGAATGAAAGAAAGCTTAGAGAAGGTAAGATATTTTAGAAGACGTTGTTGCAGAATTTTACTAGGCTTTATTGATGCAGCCTTTACTGACTCATAAGTTGTTGAAAATCTTATTAGATACTTTAACCATGATAACATGTTTAGGAATTCTTTGTTTCAAATCAAAATAGACGTCCATGTGCTGAAGAACAAGATTACGGTTTAGGGTCAAGTCATCAAAATTCTTCATGTATAAGTGCACGTAAATACTATAATATCTAACAATTATAAAATTGTAATACCAATATTGTTGCTCTGTAGACACATGCTCGATTTCCAACTGAAAGATACATGGTAAAGACACGTAGCGATTTGATTGTTCGGAGAATGACAGCTGACGAAGTTGGGGAAAAGATTGTTGCTCACTGTGGTGGATACGAAATGCTTTATACTGTTGATGTCAGCCAGGGAAATGTCGAGAAGGTTGCAATAAGTCTTGCAGAAGAGGTTGCAGGTAATTAAAATCAATATATCTTCTTTTGTGCATGGCCATGGGTAAAGCATTTGGTCACCGAGGTTCAATGCTTGTTTTTTAAAGAATAGGTTTCATCCTCATCTCGAGTACTACTTGAAACAAATTAAGAGGTCGACTCTGAACAGAAGTAAAGAAAAATGATGTTTTCGATTGTTATCAAATTCGATCATCAAAAGCAAACCAGTTTTCGCCCAATTTGGTGATTGGGGTCATTAGGTAAGGGCCCAAATCCGGTTTCAGTATACTGAGATTGAGTTTTTTGTAATTCATTTGGAAAAAATGATTTTGCCAAACAGATGCACATTACAGTTCTACTAAGAGTTTTTAAAAAAAGGTGGAAAGTGCTCTATGCCTTATTTGTAAAAAGCATTTTTTCATGCAATATATGCAAGCCACGATTACATATGTATATCAAGAAAAAAGTCAGATTTGAGAATACCTTCCCTTATGCCGGTGTCATATGCGTTTCGGTAACCTTAGGCATTTCGGTACACAAACATGGCAATTTTGGTTATGCAAAAACGTACCCAAGCACAGCACTTAAACAATAGGGTACCAAAACGAATGTTGGAATTTAGCGTCCGAACCGGTCCGGGTACACAAATGTTCTGGTTCATATTGTTCAGAATGGAAAGAACAATCGAACTAATTTTAAAAAGGGGGTTGCTAATAAAAAAGGGGTGCTGTAATTTCCTTTGTTAGATTTATGCAAAAAGTACAACATTAATGGCGACTCCAAACTTTACGTGATTGACTATAAGATAAGTGTAATACATTTAACTCCTAAAAACGTGTCAAAACATCACATGATGAAGTCACAAGATCTGAAACACATTGCGTTTCACAATGCTACACTTTCGCAAAGGGTACCAAAACGCATACTACACCGGCAAAAATATGCATCTTAGAGCTAAGCAAAGTATTACTTACTAGCACTGTTCGTAACATTTTATTCTAATAAATGTTTGTGACAGACCGTTGTGAATAGCAGACAAAAGTGAATACACGTTTAGCTGTGAAATATTTAGCTGGAGCACACACAGACACTTTTGTAACGCACTATTCTCATCCATATACATCTTGTTGCATAATGATCATAATAAATATATGATTGCCTTCCTGCGGCCCCGACCTGCCCTTAAAATGGTCCAAATTCTTTATAAAAATAAGTAAATAAGGATTAGTTGCAAGATTTTAATTCTTATCTTTACTTGAAACTTAGTAACAAATTTTTGGATTATTTGAATTTTTCTTTTTTAAGGAAAAACAAAAAGGAGCACAATTATCAAAAGGTTTTTTGCATGCAACCTCGAGAGCACAAATGTCATAAACACTTGCAGAAACAAAGGAAAACTTGGTGCAAGATGCTCCTTTTACAGAACTGACCTCAGACGGTGCATCTACGAAATTGACTGCCCCGCAAACATTTCAGATAAGGGTTTATCTGCAACTTGCAAAGGAACTCATCAATTCAATTTGCTGCAATGCTGCGATTTCATCTGTTTTCCATTTGGAAAATAGACTTTCAAACTGCATTCCTTCTATCGTAACTTGTAAAATCCACAGATTGGTCAATACAATATAAAAGAATAACTAATCGGTTTTGCTTTTTTGATCATTCTCTGATACTCTCTCTAAGTTGAGATCCCCTTGCAATTCTTATAAGTGCTTGTTGAAAGAATTTACGCGCATTTCTCATTTTTCACGTACTACATACACCCAAACGTGTTGTTATGATAATAATGCTCCAAACTTCATTGTAAGACTTTTGTAGCTGAGGTTATAACTCGCCATCACTCTTTTAGTCCGGTCAAAGTTTCAAAAAACAAAGGAATTTGAAGTGTTCTTAAAAATTTAACTAGTCGATTACTTGTGACGACGATGATTTGAACTTTCGTTGGTTTAGAGAAACAATTGATTCAGCAGTTTATTTACACGCTGCTGCGAATCTGATTCAGAAATAATGTGGTTTTGTAAGCAAAGAGTTTGTACAGGTAGGCGCCCTCTCAACTTCATAATAACCAGGCCCTCAAAAGATAAAATTGAAAAAATATCTCTGTTAATTTCAAAGATATCTATGTTCAAGAGAATACAAGTCACAAAAGAGAAGATAAAATCCTTGGGAAGAAAACATTTCAGTATTGCTTACCAGGGGCGTTGTGGCTAGGCGGGACACCGGGAAATTTCTCGGTGAGCTCCTTTCAAGTGAGTTTTTTTAAACCCAGGAAAATATCTAATATGAACAAAATCTTTGGTGAGAAAACGCCTCACTTACATTCATACTCAGGTTCACAGTTCAGAATTAGAGGAGGCCAACATTTACAAACAGGCAACTGTGAAAGAGATGCGTGGAATATGAACAGGGCTTCCGAGAGGGGGACAAGAAGGGGCCTCGAGGTCTTGGGGTCCTCTTAAAGCAAGAAATTCCAATTTTAGAACTGAATTTTATCGAAATGCAAAAAAGTGCCAAAAATTTTGTAAAACGAGGTAAACCACTGTAAAAAACAAGCGACACTGATTGGTCAACCTATACAGTCATGTGCTCGTATTTTCTGATTGGCCTTTTTCGATCCACAACTGGGTATATAAATATTTCCAAGCGTAGAGTTTTCGATCTATGTTCTGACGTTTTAAACTCTGAAGAGTGTCAGACGAAAAGCTTTAGTTTACTAAATGTTTGCTTTTTTCAAAGCCATTCTGAAACGTGTTTAAAGCTAATTTAAAAGGCGTGGCCGAAAAAATTTTCTGCTCGATTCGCTCGCAGTGCTTATGGGTTTTCTGTTGCATTTGTGTTAGTATCAACTGTGCGCTACAGCATTGGATTCGTTTCACATTTTTGCGGTCTTAAAGAGACTATGGTTAGAGAAAAGGGGCTACACCCCAACAAATATAGCAGACGAACCTTTAAAAATGATAAAAACTGGCATCTTTTTAATATTACATAGGTGCATGGTTTCCAGGTACATATTATTTTTGGTGACTTGGGTTTGTGATTGGAGATATCATACAAAAGCGTGGGCCCCCTTGTGATAATTTTCTCCCGGCCCTTTCCTAGGAGCCACAACGCCCCTGTTGCTTACATTATACGTAGTACGGGCCCCTTTTCTGTATATAGCAACCCAAGAGGTTTGATGCCAGTCCGCCTCTGGATAAAACTGTTTGGGTTGATTATGGTTTGAAAAAAGACGTGGTTTGTTTGATTATGGAGATACTGTTTGGGGGGATAGAAATAACCAATGTTCGATGAAGACTCTGCAAGTTCTTCATAACAAATGCGCCAAACTGGTATTGAGCATGAAACCAAATGACTCAAGCACGAATTATTAAATTCTCACAAACGAATCGAAAATTGTTACTCTGCAGTAGCAGTAAATTATTCACAAGAACAGCCAAAGAAGAGAATATTCGTGTTTGCTTGAACTTTTGTATGCAATCACAAGATCATTTAGCAATGTATAAATGCCTATATGCTAAATCTCTGTATGCTTATTGTATAAGACATTATAAGATTAATGCTTTAAATGTATTTAATCAAAAATATTCAATATTATCTACAAAATCAGATAGCAAACTAGCTTAATAAAAATCACAGGTATCGGATATTTGCAAATCAAGCATCTTGCTATGTTACAATACTAAAATCTTTTCTAAAACATGCATCATAAATGTAAGTCTGACAAATAAATTTTTTGTGACAGTAAATAAACAGCGTGTTGTACGTCAAATTATGTCAAATAAGAAAACTATAATTAGATAAATTAAATGTTGCAATAACATTTCGAACATAACTCTATACCAGCAATTTTTTTAAATGGTTTCAATGGGTGTAAAAAATCAAGGTGTAAAGAAAAAAATAAAGAAATTAAAGCAATCAGCCAAGAAACAGCAGTTTGAGACGCAAGGAAATATTGATAACTAACATATTCTCCCAACTAAAATGGTGATCCTGTTTTTCCTAATGGTGACCCTAAAACGCGGTTTTTCCTGGAATGAAAAGTATAGGAACAAGCTCTTAAAGGGCGGACTAGTGAAAAGAGCTTGTGAATAGGTCCGAGGAAGGTAAGCAAAAGATAATAAAAGACACAAATTTTTACTAATCTCTTTTCGATTTCTTGGTCTTGTCTTTATTTGGTCTTATTTAAGACGAGCGCTTTGAGTCTAGAAAATATTACTGAAGAATGTGAAAGATACCAAGAGCGCTGCAATCATCACTGATGGTTCTTTGGCTGAAAGAGAACACGGCCATTCACATGAAGGCTTAGTAAAAAAATGGAGATAAAAGGAGGATTTTTATTTGAATTGTGTACACATGTTTGGATACACAAGCAGAAATAAAGAAGATATATATCTAAGGAAATAGAAGATAATAAATCAAATATTGTATAAAAGATTCGAGAATACCATTCCCTAATCTGTCATTGCAGAAATGTTTTAACTCATTCTTGACAGAAAGTGTAATTAACAATTGCATAGCTTACTTGTTGCACTTCCACAAGGTTGGGAGTTTTTGTCAGTGCAAGGATCTGTAGAAGTTAAGAGTGATGCTGGCTTTGTGAAATAGGGCGTTGACTGTTTTTCAATATTTGGTGTCGATGAGCTCACTGTTAAATTTAACGATTATACAGATGGTTTTCGTCAAGTTTCTTTATTCTTCATAAATAAAATGTTTGCTAGCAAAATAACCTTGGAATTTAGATCTATGCATGAGAATTAGTAAGATAAATTGACAGTTACTAAACCTTTACTGACAGTAAGAGTGACAGAAAACATAAAGGTCGCTGAACATGCAATGATTTTAAAAAGAAAAATATAAACTCGTAAACGAGACGATGATGTGGATAAAGAAAGGATTGCTCAAAACACGAATAAGAAAATGAGCCTTAAGAGGGTAGTGTTTGGGACGCCACTAAGATTGTGAACAAATATATAACAATTTACTGTGCTAAACCATATCTTCAGTTGAGTTAATAATAAAGCCCTGGTAGAGACTTAAAATCAAAAACCGAGTTAGAAAGCGGCCTAAAAAGCAAAAGCAGTCTTAGAGTCTGCACGCAGGCTACGTATGCCGGGCGAAATATCAGCCATAGTTAACTACGTGTGTTTATTGTTGTTGGGTCTCGACGCGTTGCAGTGTTCGTTGTTTGCTACATTACTTTCAAACAACTGGTTGGTTATTTTCTGACCTCAGGACTGAGTTTAATCAATATATGCATTGACCACTTGAGGTTCTATGTTCTAGGTTCTTGTCGTTATTTGTCCAGAAGGTCGATTACAAAAAGCATTCACGGGGAAGGGTAGGGGTTCTTCCTTAGTGAAGGTGCCTGGGGATGTGTTTCAGACTTCTAGTCTAGCCAAGAGTATAGTTTTTGCAATTTAAGTCTAGTCAAGGTCGGGCCAAGGATTCCCTTTAACAATATTGGTCTAGGGAACTGAAAGAAGAAATTCAATCCTGAAACCCATTTTTGTTGATTAAAAACTAGTAAATAAAACAAATTGACTTTTGAAGTTTCAGGGTTGAATTCAACAATGTTGAGATATCAGCTGACTCGAATTGCTTGGTAAATGAATCAAGCCAAGAGTATCGTTTTCAACATAAGTCTACCCAAGGGTATCATTTTTTGTAGAAATTCGTCTAGCCAACGATACCACTTTGAACATGCCCGCGGCAGACCCCTACCCAGAATATAGCCAATAACCAGTGGCGTAACGCAGTTTAGGGCAGCTTAATTCGATAATTAGGGGCCCTCGGTCAAAAAGGGCCCCCAAATTATAAATGCGTCCATGTTTTTAAGACTTCACTCAAGTTCACGTAAACTTCCAAAACCCCCTTTCCCTTGGCAGAATTAGACTGGTTCAGTTGTAAAATTATTTTCTTGAAAATCTTGCATCAGATTGGTAATGATTTTGTAGACTATTAAGAGTCGCTAACCACCAATCACAAAAATTTTCATCGTATCTCGTGATACAATGACGGATGAAGAAATTTGTCCAAGATTGGAATGAAAAGAGCGCTGTTGAACAATGTCAGGAGGAGGCAATGGGGTTTCATTGGGCATGATAGAAAGAAAGATCATAGAGGCTGAGATGACTGGGGAGAAAAAGTTGGGTGTTTAAGATGGAAAAAAACTAGGCAAGATTGCAAGAGATGATCCACCGTGATCCTTCTATGGCATTCGATACCATGACACCAGAAGAAGAGATCTCGTGACATAGTTTTCCACAGAACGTCCTTCTCTATGTACCTGTTCTCGTCAATGCCACAGAATATTGCACTAATTCGAGATTTTGCATCGAATCGTTTCAATGATTGTTTTAACTGCCTTTTCCTACGAAATATGGTTAATCACCCCACCCCACCATAGTAAAAGATGGCTCCACAAAAAGACTTATTAAGTTCATTCAAGGCTTCTCTTCGAATATGTTTATAAAGATATTTGAAAGTTTCTAAGGTGCAAGTTACACTATACCGGATTGCTATCGGAGCGGAGTAACTTTCATATCGGATAGGGGTTTGAGTTACACTACGCCACACCAATCCGATACACAACGCTCTGATAAGCGGAGTGAAAATCACTTCGCTCTGGAGGTGATACGAAAATCGCTCCGTAGCGAAAATCGGAGTCACTCCGTAGCGGAGCGTTGTAGTGTAATCGCACGAATCCGATATGCTCCACTTCGAAACAAAGGATTTTCTTATTGTTTTCTGATTGAAGCAATTCGATCGATAGTGAGCAATGGCACTTTCTGAGATTTTGTTGCTGTTGGATAATGCCAAATCGAAATCATCAAAACATTTTCGTATTTGGATTTCATTTCTTCCCAAATTTTAATGAAGTGACCCTTGGACGAAAAACATACTTTAACACATCAGATAGCAACACAATCTCGCTATCCGTCCTACGAACCCCATTATTTATAGTTCAGTTTCATGGTTGTTTTCGTCATGTTATGCATAGCTATTGAAAAAGAATTCGCAACAGCACATAGATTCGAAAATATCGTCAAAAATTTAATCTGGTGGATTTGGTGTACCAGAAATGCAAAGGAATAAAGGCTTATGATCGAACGGAGCGTCGTAGTGCAACTGCTAACCTGAATATCCCTCCGGAGTAGAAGTTACTCCGCTCTGCTCCGCTCCGATAGCAATCCGGTATAGTTTAACTCTAGCCTAAGACTTTTCTCGATTTGACAATAGACGCATTGATATGTTTAGAAACAGAAAATTAGAGCCATGTATAAGAACAACGTATTCCGAAAGGAATTACAATTTAAAAGAAATTCGAAGCCGAAGCTCGTAGCCCTGAGCTAGGGAACCCTGCCAGGTGGTACCAGTCGGGTCAGGCTGGACCTGTAAGCTAGTGGAGGGAAGGGACGCTTTAATTCCCCATTCATGTCCTGTCGGAGCATGCCACTGCACTTTTTAACTAATCGAGAAATTAACCAGCTAAATTTATTTTCAAAGGAAATATGTAAAGAAAATTTTCAAAATTCAGGATACAAAATGGCATGCAAACGCGCTGTAAGACAGATTTGGAAAGGCAAAAATACATACAAAAATTGCGGAGCATACTTACTAGTTGTTGGTGGTGATGCTGTACTTGTCTGGTTTATCTTGATCTGCGATGCAACTACTGTGTTTCCAGCCATAGGATCATTGGCAGTACCATATAACTTCATTGACCAGTTGTACAAGGTACCTATCAATGATGTACATTCATATCTTAAAAGGTGTTTATATATAGTGTGTGACCATCTATATCAGAAGTATAAAAAGCAATGAGGACTTTTCACAAAATATTGCTAAAAACTAAAATAAATGCATATTTTCACAATGATTGTTACGCTTTGTAGGTAATTTAACTTGTTTATCACAATGTTTAAGAATCAAATGTTTACCATTTTGTTTTGGATCTGGTTTGACATTTCTCAACCTAATTTGCCATCTTCCTCGAGGATTCTCTCCCCAAAACTGTAAGGACATTATTGACAAGTTTTTTATCTCCTGAAATGAATCCATTATCCTTCCTGCAAGAAATCCATATCATTTTGGCATTTTTCTAACATCAAATCACAAATTATATTTATATAAGCATATTGTTTAGAAACAACGTGCTAAAAAATGTCAACGGTAATCTCAAAACGGAAAAGCAGAATTTATCTCAATATTTTGTCTCAAATCACCTGAGCGTAGAAGAACAGATATGCTCCCACCAGGGCTTTCGACCTCAATTTCAAGGTTGGTTCGACGAGTAAAATTTAAGGAGAACCGCATGACAACATGTTCAAGAAAGTTGATCCTTTTCCCCTCTCCTCCACAGAGATTTGGCCATGAGGACAAATCTACTATTTCTGTTGTTGTTGCAACTCCATCAATACTACAAGTTAATTCATGATAGAATATACAAAACAGAAAACAATCCATCACAGTGATTACTTATTTAAATTTACGAAAATTATGAAATGTATTGTCACTTTCTTTGACCTGCTTCCCTTCAGACTTCATATCATCTTCATCCTTCATAAGTTCTTCTGTTTCAATTTCTGTTCTTCCAACATGAAGCAGCCTCATGTTTACAAAAGGCGGTTTTGACCTTCACCTCGAGTTATTTGCTGGACTATTCCAGAATTTAATGCGGAAAAATTGCACTTGCTAGCACTTCCAAACAAACCCAGCTGTCCTTTTGGCTAATTTGCCGATAAACTAGCTTTCAAAAATTCGGGTTAGAGAATCCCAACGATATTTTCAATTAATTTCCGTCGTATTGTTTTGTTCGTTGCCAAGTTGTAACAGCCAAAATGAAGGCTTGGCTCAACTGTTTAGCTGCTCAAACTAAAAAGATAAATCAACCTTGGATTGGATGTTCCTTTTTGGAAGACACTAAACTTTAATTTTCTTTGACTAGGACAAATTTTTTTCCAGGGTTGCCAGATTTACCTTTTTCAGAGTCAAGTTTCCTGAAAAATTTTCTTTTGGCCTTTAGATCTGGCCTTTTGCCCTTTTTCAGTAATAATTTTTTTGGCCTTCTTTGGTTAATTCCATTGGCAACCCTGTTTTTAAGGGGTAATAAAAACATCGAAGTAATAGCTAGCTTTGAAAGGTCTTTACAAACCCTTCATAACAGCGGAGCTTGATTAAAGATACAAAAAACTGGCTAGCAAGTAATACCCCCTTTTGCGATTAAACATAAATATTTCTTTGTGAATAACATTCTAGTTATACGTGCATACCGCTTCGGTGTATTTGGCAATGTCATGACGCATTCCAAATGTTGCCCGACATTTGTCCAGTTTTTGGCATTGGTCGTCAAGGCGTCAGCATCGAGCAATCCAAAACCAAAAAAGTCACTGTCTGAAATTAGCAAAAAGAAGTTTTCTTTTATAAAATAATTTGGTAAATAGCTATTGGTAACTGGACATTTGTGCAGCAGGGAAACTAAAGAGTCCTTTAAACTGAAAAAAACCAATGGAGACAATCTACTCAGCACGTAGTCAGTCTCAGACAACAAAGGAGAGGCAACGAAAGACCATGAAAATTAAGTAGCTGCAAAAGATCCAAGGTCCGTATGTTATTCTGGACATATTTATGTTTGCATCAAATATTTTGATAACATTTTGCCTTTTTTGAGGAGCTAGTCGTAGATTTTTCAAAGTCAACACTACTTACATCGAAGTCCAGCTTTGTTTATTTTCCATTCGACTGAAGAGAACTTGGAACACGAGCTTCTAGCAACCAAGTGCTGCACATCCCGCCAACCAAGATTGGAGCTAAAATGAAGAAGCAGAATATAAAAGAGTATTTTACAGACGTGCTTGGTTTCCACTTGATTTGCTCTGATCGAATCCTCTTTCAAAGGAGTTGTGCGAGCATGGCGATTTAGGTGGAAGCCAACCTTAATAGTTGGCTTATAATTTATTTTATTTGGTTTTTGATTGAAAGCCAATGGCAATTCCGCCCGTCTTTTAACCTAGAACCTGCTATTAGCATTCTGTTCATGCTCTACTTTGTAGACGCGGAAGATAATCACCCTTTTTGCCTCACTAGAAAACAGCAAAATCAAAATATCAAAATGCAACAAAATGCTACATGCAGAATTTTTCTTTAGTAAGTGTACGAAGTATAACGCTAAAGCGTAGATCGTGATTTTGTCTTTTACAAGATAAATAACGTGTATGGTTCTGAAGTCCATTTAAGCGCGTTCATGTTCATAGTAATAATGATATATTAATAAAGGCATTTATATTGCGCCATTTATCCACTCGGCTCAAGGCGCATTACATAACGTTCATAAAACCAATAGAGAGATAATCTACAGTATTAAAAAGAATGCTAAGAAATTGTTCGTAAAAAAAAAGATCTAATTAAGCTGGCGTCTAACTTTTTTATTAAGTCAGATAAAAAAATAAAAGTCATCGTTCTGGATTGTTGACTAAAGCAGTAGGATTACATTAAGATTGAAATCTTAGACAATAAATGTTGATGAAAATATTCTGATTGTTGATGATGAACGTTGATGAACGTTGCATAAATTGTGGGATATAGGATTAATATTCTTTTATAAATTTGAGAAATGATGATGGCTGCTATCTTATGCTATCAAAAATTATTCTATCCTATGCTATCCTATGTTATCATATGCTATCCTATGCTATTCTTTGCTACCCTATACTATCATATGCTTTCATATGCTATCCTTTGCAATCCTTTGCTATCCTTTGCTATCCTATGCAATCCTTTGCTAATCTTTGCTATCCTATGCTATTCTTGCTATCTTATGTTATTCTTTGCTATCCTAGGCTATCCAATGTTATTCTTTGCTATCCTATGTTATTCTTTGCCCCCCCCCCCCTTTACTATCCTATGCTATCCTATGTTATTCTTTGCTACCCTATACTATTCTATGCTATCCTATGCTATCCTATGTTATTCTTTGCTACCCTATACTATTCTATGCTATCCTATGCTATCCTATGTTATTCTTTGCTATCCTATGTTATTGCTATCCTTTAATATCCAATGGCATCCTATGCTGCCTCATGCTACCTCGTGTTTTCTTATGCTATCATATGCTATTCTATGCTCTCCTATGCTATCCTATGCTATCCTATGCTATCCTATGCAATCCTTTGCTATCCTTTCCTATCCTTTGCTATCTTATGTTATTCTTTGCTATCCTAGGCTATCCAATGTTATTCTTTGCTATCCTATGTTATTCTTTGCCCCCCCCCTTTACTATCCTATGCTATCCTATGTTATTCTTTGCTACCCTATACTATTCTATGCTATCCTATGTTATTCTTTGCTATCCTATGTTATTGCTATCCTTTAATATCCAATGGCATCCTATGCTGCCTCATGCTACCTCGTGTTTTCTTATGCTATCATATGCTATTCTATGCTCTCCTATGCTATCCTATGCTATCCTATGCTATCCTATGCAATCCTTTGCTATCCTTTCCTATCCTTTGCTATCTTATGTTATTCTTTGCTATCCTAGGCTATCCAATGTTATTCTTTGCTATCCTATGTTATTCTTTGCCCCCCCCCTTTACTATCCTATGCTATCCTATGTTATTCTTTGCTACCCTATACTATTCTATGCTATCCTATGTTATTCTTTGCTATCCTATGTTATTGCTATCCTTTAATATCCAATGGCATCCTATGCTGCCTCATGCTACCTCGTGTTTTCTTATGCTATCATATGCTATTCTATGCTCTCCTATGCTATCCTATGCTATCCTATGCTATCCTATGCAATCCTTTGCTATCCTTTCCTATCCTTTGCTATCTTATGTTATTCTTTGCTATCCTAGGCTATCCAATGTTATTCTTTGCTATCCTATGTTATTCTTTGCCCCCCCCCTTTACTATCCTATGCTATCCTATGTTATTCTTTGCTACCCTATACTATTCTATGCTATCCTATGTTATTCTTTGCTATCCTATGTTATTGCTATCCTTTAATATCCAATGGCATCCTATGCTGCCTCATGCTACCTCGTGTTTTCTTATGCTATCATATGCTATTCTATGCTCTCCTATGCTATCCTATGCTATCCTATGCAATCCTTTGCTATTCTTTCCTATCCTTTGCTATCTTATGTTATTCTTTGCTATCCTAGACTATCCAATGTTATTCTTTGCTATCCTATGTTATTCTTTGCCGCCCTATACTATCCTATGCTATCCTATGTTATTCTTCACTACCCTATACTATCCTATGCTATCCTATGCTATCCTATGTTATTCTTTGCTATCCTATGTTTTTCTTTGCTATCCTATGTTATTGCTATCCTTTGATATCCAATGGCATCCTATGCTGCCTCGTGCTACCTCGTGTTATCTTATGCTATCATATGCTATCATATGCTATCCTATGCTATCCTATGCTATTAGAAATAGCTAAAAGGGTATTACTGTATAAATTTTTTAAAATGAAATAAAATGAGAATGAAAAAATCAATATCAGTTTTACAATCATTTGATACATCAGCCAGGGTATGAAAGAATTAATGAATCTTCTACACTTTTTAATCAGTTGCTTTGTATCGTATCGTATCCAAATCACTAAGGTCAATATAGATAGGACTCCTCTAAACTCTTACATCTTAAGAACATGATAGTATCATGAACACGCATGGAAGTTGTCGTGTTTCTAACTGCACAGGGAAGATAACTGATATAGAGAAGAATGGAGAGGCCCCCCCCCCCCCAAGACATAAGCCTTGTAAAACATCAACTTATCCTTTTTGCGCTTTTTTGTGTTCAACAGCTTGGACAGAAACCAAAAATTTTATCATTACCAAAAATTTTTGAATATCATAGTCTCAAAACCGCATCTAAACAAGCTAATCCAGTAACTTGTTGGTGATAATAATGTGTTAAAACAATATTAGAACTAATATTTCTCAATATTATAGAAGTAGTCATCACTGACATTAAAGAAACATTTCAAGTGGGCTGAGGCAACAGGAAAACTTTTCTTCATTGCTTCACCTTTCGGAGGCCTCTCAGATGCCAGGCGTGAAGCAGAATTACAATCCCAAGATAAAATGTTTGCGCGTATGCTTTCTTGCCAGGGAATACTGTCAAGGGAATTACAGTTCACAAAGAAGGAATGTAAACTTTGAACATCAGTTATGACACTACATAGGCTAGACAACATACTTTGCTTGAAGAACCAATGCTAATATTCCTGCAGCTACAGCATTGGCACCAGATGATGCCCCATCATTCTCAATGCATTTATTTTGTAATGCACATGATGGCTGAAAGAATAAAACTGTCACCCTTATTTGTAGAAGGCGATGCTGCAAAAATTTAGTTATGTAGCTTCAATTAGTCCCCCATTTCTATTACCTTAGGCATAAACATAACTTAGTTCTACATGGTGAATGGTATATGTAGTAACCTTTTTCAGAAACCCATAATGTAGACGTTATGGCAAAAAAACTGTGATCACATAACAGCTTCATTAGAGGAAGGGACTGGCTGCTTCTGACTTTGCCATGTTTTGCCTTGATCCTACATTCTTTCCTGTTACAACACTTATGCCAATTGTGATGTAACATCTACATGTTTGGTTCAAATTCAAATATATCAAAAACCTATGATCGCATAACAGCTTCATTAGACTTTGTTCCATATAACATTTTAGCTCTTCTGAATGTTTAGAGAAAGTGACGTTTTCAGTAGATGAAATAATATCAATATTGAGACCTTTAAATCTCGGGTGCATATATTACATAAGGTTAAAAACAGTCCTTGATTAGAAATTTAATTATTGAAAGACATTTTAAAATATTAGGTTATTTCAGAAAATTGATCCCTTGTTGTCAGCCTACAGACCTGTTTAGTATGTAGCAGCGAAGAAACGTCATATTTGTAGTGATTCACTGTATTTTTTTGAAATTTTTTTGAGAGTTTAAGCATTCCTATTTACGGTGATTTACGTATGCTTTTACTAAATCTAATAGTATCCAATTTCTAAAGCAATCAAAGTCCTTATCAACGAAATAAGCTTTTAGATAATACATGCTTCCAGTTGCAATACAGGGATCCGGAGAGTGGAGGAGAAGGGTAACGGGCAATGTCTTCACAAAACGAGAAGCCTGTATCTTATATTACGAAATGCATTATTTTTGCACCAAGTCAAAGCTACAACCTTCTAATGGTGCCTTTTATCGCAAGGTAACTCTAAAAAATACAACAAACGCCAACTCAATGAATTTTCATTGCAACTGGAATATCATCAAAAGGCAAGGATTTGAACCAAGAGAAAATATGGAAAAAATGAGATCTTAAATATGCTAGTATGATTTAAAAGAAAGTCTGTTTTACCTGTGATTCTATAAATAGCAGATTTTTCTAATTGCAAAGGTAACTTGCAATTAACGACCAGAGCTTGTGCTCATAAGTTGCCAACATCTACATATTTGGTTCAAATTCAAATATCTTTATAGGGAGCTCCTTACCATGCGATCATGGGGATACTTTAGTCCTAGTGACAAATCTCTTGCATAAGTGACAGCATGTACAGCAGAACATGCCATGTTTTGCCTTGATCCTACATTCTTTCCTGTTACAACACTTATGCCAATTGTGTAAATAGAGGTAACATATTCGTCAAAAGCGCAACTTCCGTTGAACTGCCCACTGTTTCCGGCAGCAAAGAGATAGATACTGCCCTTACCACCTCTTCCCTACAAAAATAAGAGGTGATTCAGTGCCTTCTTCATTAAATCAAGGAAGGAAAAGGTTTATTTCGTATTTTACATAACATAACATAACATAACATAACATAACATAACATAACATAACATAACATAACATAACATAACATAACATAACATAACATAACATAACATAACATACATAACATAACATAACATAACATAACATAACATAACATAACATAACATAACATAACATAACATAACATAACATAACATAACATAACATAACATAACATAACATAACATAACATAACATGTGTATTTTGTACCTTTTCAGTGGCATTTTTTATTGCAGCTTCAATAGGCTCTTCTACGTATCCAACAGATGCTGAGTAAATTGACAGAGGGCCCCAAGAACACAAATATATGTCATTAATATGGTGTGCGTATTCCATCATATATGCGAATCTCTTCGGGTTCGCTGGTTCTGAACTACCAAGATAATGCTTGATGCCTTAAAATAAAGAAGCATTCTCTCAATAAACAAAAATTGATTAATACTAACCGTATAGGAATACTATTTTTATTCAAGATGGGGGATGCTAATAATCTGAATTTTCGTAGCACACTAACGAAAAGTTAATTCGCAAAAAGGGAAAGGGATATAGGCACAAGACACTTTCGTCGAGAGAACCTTTTTTCAATCTTGAGAAAAACTTCTTTAACATGCTGGAAAAACAATTGTTGTATACTGATTACGGAGCTCCAAGGGGTAAAAACATAGCACTCTTTGAAATAGCCCTAAAACTGAGGTTTAACACAGTGGACAATTTGATCTAACAAGGAGACAGATATTTTAAATTGTTCTTTTGATAGTCATTTCTCCAAGGTAAAAATTCTATGAATGGAAGACATAAAAAAGGCAACAAAACTTTCGGACGGAATTGGAAGTAGCATAAATACAGCAAATTGGCATTAATTTGGAATTACAAACCTGAGAATTTGGCATCGTATGCAACTCCCACTATGCATTTACCATTATTTGCTTTAGCAAGAGCTAGACCTGCCATTGCAGTTCCATGCGAGAATGGGCCACTGCAATAAAAGAGGTTTTCAAACATGGAAAAATTTCTATCTATGAAGTTTATATTCCCAAATATGTGGCATCTTAAGTTAATTAGTTTGTCTAAGTATTTTTATTGTTTCTATTGCACTTTTTACTGTCTAACCCTTCTCAAATGCCCGATAACTTAAAATGCATGAGATATGGTAGGTCTGCAGCGCTAAAGTGTTATTGGTCTCGAGATCGCACTCGCATATACTCGCAAATCTCATTTATAGTCCAGCCTTTACCCTACACCCCTGCTCCCATTCAAAGTTGGAGCGCTTGTTTTTTTAGAAGAAAAGATATCAACATTGAACTGGAGAGAGGGGTGAAAAATCTTGACAAAATCTTTCCAAAATTGTAGTTGATTTTGGTAAGTTGATCACGGCACAGCAGTTCAAAAATAGTGCCAATTACAGAAAATGATATCTTAACCTGTATAAGTTGTTTTGAGATGTTGTATGGCATCCCATCAGTCATTGTGAATGGCAGTATATCCCTCTAGAGGCTCAATAACGAGTAGCTTCAGCACCCCAGGGTCGGTCAGGGTAACAAAGCATTGCATGCCTAGTACATATGACTTCTTGGGTCTCAAACAAAACTTTTATACAAAGAAAATTTTGCTAGAATACTGTACTTGGTAAAGATTACAAGCAGATAGAGTTATAATTGATTTGAGGGGAAGAACAAGACTGCTCTAAGTTGATACACTTAGTTTCGTGCTTAATACAATCATCAGGTGACTGATTTTCAGTTGGAACAGAGCCCTCTGACGAAAAAGGAGACAAACAACTCTGAATGGTTTCACCGAAAACAGCTAAGCAGAATATCACCAAGCTACTGAGGTTTGGAAACAATCAATTCTGCAAAGAATGCAGAGAAAGAAAAAAAGAAAGATGTGAGAAATACTTGAGGGAAAGCATTTGGACAGACATCTAAGAAAGACACCATATGGGAAAGCCATGAATTGGTACTTTGAAGTACCAGATATGATAAGAAATACAGAGAAACCTAGGGAAGAATATTGCCAGGGATATATCACTTTGACACTGTGAAAGGAAGGAAGGAAAATGCAAACAATGTCTGAAAATAAAACAGTTTAAACTACATTATACTTAACAGGCATAATGTTTATAAGTACACTGCGACTCAATAAATAATATGGATAGTGCTATACATATTTCCAGCCTGGGAAAAATCTTATCTTGAGGTATGCCCTTTCGATCTTATCGACGGGAAATTCTTCGACTAAACAAAAGAATACAAGTCCTAACAAAAAGAATTTTTTTTAATCTGTAAATTAAACCATACACCTATTGAATCTTGTAGATTGAATAGTTGAATTTATCTTAAGGTCAATGAATTAAGCATACTATTAAGCGTTGTTCAATGCTCAAATCGAAAATATCTTGAACTTGGCCAAATTTACCGTATGCTTCTTGCCAAAAAGAATGCTCTGAAAAATTGCCAAATCAAGGAAAATAAAAGAAAAAACAACGGGAAAGAACTCTCTTCAACAATTTGTAGCATTGCATGGGCTAAGCAGTGCAAGCAATGCAAGCTGGATATTCTCTTAATGCAAGATATCATCTAGAAATATTAAAATAGCTTTAAATTCTTAAAAATTGCAGAAATAACGCAAAAAATAGCAAATTGAAACCACTTACTCATACAGCGCAGGACTATCTGGAGTCGGATCAGAGCTATTGGTCTTGTAATCAAAACTTCCCTCAACCACCTACAGTAGGGCATATGGTTAGGTTACAGTCAAACAGTTGAAAGCAAAGTTACCAAGAGTGTGGGGCTCATTCATTTCAAGTCCCTCCTAAATACACGTTTCCAGTACTAAATCAAATTAACGATTTTCTTTGTTGGTTTGGTTTTCAAATAAAAGGTGCTTCACTGACGAACGACTATCAGACTAAAATTCCTTCGTCCTTCTTTGCACCGATTTACTTCAGCTTGCAAAGCGAGCAAGAGAGATTGTTGAATAAAAAATAATGCAAAGTTTATACACACAAAGACGATCATTAAATAAAAGGTATATCAATTAATATTTCTATAAAATTTTTCAGGCGTAACCATATATCAGTGACAAAGAAGTAGCAAGCAAAAAGTTTATTTAGAAAAAAATTTGATTAAGTAGAACAAGGGAAAGAATGCAACGCAAGAATGAGACAGAAGAATGTGATGCAAGAATGCCACGCAAAAATGCGACGCAAGAATGCAACGCAAGAATGTGACACAAGAACAAGACAACAAATGTGACGCGAAAGTGGGACGCGAAAATGGGACGCGAAAGTGGAACGCGAAATTGGGACGCGAAAATGGGACGCGAAAGTGGGACGCGAAAATTGGACGCAAAAGTGGAACGCGAAATTGGGACGCGAAAGTGGGACGCAAAAGTGGGACGCAAAAGTGGGACGCAAAAGTGGGACGCAAAAGTGGGACGCATAAGTGGGACGCAAAAGTGGGACGCAAAAGGGATATCAAAATTGGTTGCGGATATTTCAGTATTTTGGGTGAGATATCTACATGTTTTGCCATTGGAACAACCACAAGCATGTATACCAAGACATTGGTTTGCAAATAAGCTTATATCTTACAAGCATATCTCTTGAATCTAAGTCTTATAAAAAAGCCATTGATGGTGGTAACAGGAAAATGTGCTTTTTTACTTCATCACAACACAGTATTCCAAAGTTCCTGTAAATTATCTTATTTAGAGAAAATAAAAGTGGGTGATACGTGAGGGTCAATGGTATTATCTTTAAGTTTTGTTTTTCCTTTCGAGGCTTCATGGCTTCTTGGCGTCAAATCTTAGTAACCTTTTCCAAAACAAGTTTGACCACCTTCAAGAGGTAATCATTGTTTGTAAAAAAGTGCTCTTTTCTTTGACTTTGTATTGGAAATCAGGATCGTCTGAGCTAAGCTCCGTAGACGAAGGAATTCAGAGAAAGGTATAACGCTCTTTGTTTTTGATGGAGCGTGATGATGAGTAGTCGAAAAAGCTGAGAACTTTATGAAACATTGCAACATATAGATTCGGAAATAGAATCGCCAGAGATTGATAGCAAAATGTCCAGGAATGGCAGTTTAGTCTCTGTCATTTCAAATGTGAATTTGAGAGCATGAAGAAAACTGCAAACAAAGTTAATGAAATTTTGAAGTTTAACAATGTCATCGATCCAATCATACTGTTGGCTGATGCTTGGTAGCCAACAATGAGGCAAGCATATCTTGATCCAAGTTTGCTACCTCACCAGCTTGAGCATTGTATTTATGATGAAGTGAGAAACCATTGGTAGCAAGTACAAGTTCAGCAAGCTGTAGGAGTATAGAGTTGGGAGGAGTGTGTTTGGGGTAGAGTGCTTTTACTTTTCTTAAATGAAAATAAAAAAGGAAATTATACCAATTATGCTCACTTTTAGGACTTCTATTTGCAGACAAAGATGCTACAAATAAAAAGACTTTACAAAAAAGGATTAATCTCAATTGGAGACTCTATTTCCACATGGACTCAAAGCAAAGCATTTCTGCTCTGATTATTTTGTATTAGTATCTTTTTCTAATCTTTTACACCTTCTCTTGTGTGGAATTCTTCCATCACATTTTTTCCTGCTTTCCTTTTTTATTGAACTATTTGCATGCTATCTCTTTATTACTGATAAATATGCCCAAATATCATATGGTAATATTTTATTCATCCATATGGTAATAAATGGCAATAACTTTTATTCAATTGTTGGTTTAATGTATATTTAAGAACTACAGCCACACATACAAACAACAAATACATCTAATCCAAAGTGAACAACACCGGGACTTTACTACAATTGAATATAAAGCAAGGAATAAAGCAAGGAACAACAGAGATAAGCTGAAGATATTTTCTGTGCTTCTCACAAATTTAGAGGCAATCTCACTGTGGTCCTTTTCAACACCAGTTGGATCATTTATACATATAGTGACACCTTTTCCAGTCAGTCCCTTTTCCCAAGCTTTGTGTATATTCATTGTCACCCCATATCTTTCATTCTAAAAATTATTGAAACAAAAAATCAATGTACATAATGTTGATATTAGTTTACCTTTACCATCTACAACTTTTTTACATGATACATTCCTGTAGGTTAACATACAGTAGCAGATAGATTTAATCTGAACAGCTGACTTTAAACTAAGTTAATAGAAAAAAATTGACAGGAACAGTTTGCATATGCCTGGGTGTTTTTATAGAACCCTGATAAATGCAGTAAGAATATTCAGACTTCAACTGCTTAAAGTTCATAAAAACAGCATGTGCCAGCACTTTATATTGCTGTCTGGGTAAAGAAACATTTTGTCTCCGGGAAGGATCCAAAAAGATTTGGTCAATGTGGTACTGAATTGTGATCAAAATGGTATTGGTGTATTTCAAAATTATTGCACTTCCACAAAGTAGGAGGAAATGATATGTAAATGATAATATTACCTATTGTTATGCAAACTATTTGTGCTTTCAAATGGCAAATGGAACTTTTTGGAAGCAAAAAAACAACAAATAAAACCTCCCATTTGTTCAAATATTACAGGAACAAATGTCATTTAACAGTTTCAAAATTCCAAATTTTATCGGGTAGCAGTGAGCTATCGAAAATTATATTCAACATTAAACCTTCTTGAAATGGATGCATCTAATTGGGTTTACCCTTACAAGGTACTCTTGTGGAATTTTGTGTCAAACCTTAAAAACTATCAGACAATCATTTTGGCCATGGTTTAAAAATATTTTTCAGATGAGGCCAACCATTTTCAAGCCATGGACTTGAGACTAGCCATGGAAAAATCTGTTTGACAATAAATCTTTGTAATCAACTTCTCTGTTTGTTCCTTTGCTGCCAAACTTGGTTTGTTTTCTGAGCTTTTGCTTCTCATAGATGTTGTGTGGCTGCATCTTATCTAACTTGCATCTCAATTGAAAATGTTTCTCCTTTACGCATGGTTTTCATTAAACATATTTTTGATGATGCCTCCTATTATGTCAGAAAGATTTTCATGAATTTTCTTCCAAAATTTGCTACAAAGTATGCCTATTTCATCCAAATCATGCATTCAAGTGTTTTGTTTTGTTGAAAAGTCCACAAAACAAGCCACCATTCTGAACAAGGTGGCAGAATACTTTTGAAACAGTAGTGTAATTGTGTGTGATGAAATTACATTGAAGAATGGGTAGTTGTGATGAAATTTGGTAGCAAAGATTATTCAACAAGAGAAATTTCAAAATTATCTTTAAAAATGATATCAAAATAATGATATTTCATTGCAGATTGAGTGAAGATGATAATCCCAAACCTCTCACCCTAAAATTGACAAATTTAATCTGACGAAGCGCACTCTAAGAAACCTTCTTGTTTGAACTATGCTCATAAAATATTTGCTCAATTGCTCCAGATCATTGAATTTGCTATCCATTTTTTCCATCCTGCCTGTTATTGGCTGATTAACTAATACATGAAAAACATGAAATTGTTAGCCTAATCTGTTAATAATTGCCCACGAAGTGTAGGAACACTTTTGTCCTGTTAATGAAGACGAAGTTAAAGTTACATCAAATGTTACTTGACAAGTTGTGATTATAAGAGAGTTTGACTGCAAGGGGTGTGTGACTGTAAACAGAGATAATTCAGGCCTTGCCCGGAAAGGCGCTCGATCGAGCGCGCGCGCCTACAGCGCACCAAAAAGAAGCCTTGGAGAGCGATTTATAGAGCCCCTCAAAGCGTCAAAACAATATTACCACGGAGCAAAATAATTTCTTGGCCTTTGTCTAATAAACTTGATCAAGCATAAACAATCTTCCCAATAGACCGCAATATTATGATTTGCGTAAGATCACCCCTTGAGAAAAAAATTCAGCAAATTCAACGTTGGTTTTTCGATACCATTTTTAATCTAATAACCCTCTAATAACCACCAAGGTCACAGGCCATCAACCCTCATTATTTTCTGTTTTTCTTAATAATTTAAAATCATTTTTGCAAATCAGAGATCACATTTCCGTCCAAATTACCGCATTGCTTTTCAGTTTTCATTTGCTTTCGTGAGTGAGTAGTAGATGTTCTAGTGTCTCTTATAGAATGGATAGCATAAAAAGGGAAATAAAGTTAATGTTTGACTTAAAGCCATGCGTTCTCCTATATTTCTATATTTGTATTAACATAGTGTTTGCTGCATGTTTTGTTGTTTCATATTATGGTGCTTTTTGGTATCACCGTTGAATTTCTTATTTAACACTCTTCCAAAGCTTTCGATATGAAGCTCTTGATCTTCCAAAGCTCTTGAAGGATGCTCTCAAGGATATTTTATTTAAAGGTGCTAAATAGAGCGCCTAGAGTTTCTAAGGGGCTCTTTTTATGGAGCACCTTCATTTTGCTTAGAGCAAGGCCTGATAATTAACAATATTCACAAGCATGGATATAAATCTTCAATGCATGTTACTAGCAGTCTAACTAACTGAAATGACAATAACTGGAGCTGACATATAAAATTTGAAGAATTTTAAAATAGCAGTTTTCCAAAGAAATGCCTTCTAGAATACTTTCTACAAATCCTACTTACCAGATAAAACTGCAGTGGAAAAAGTGGATCATTGAAGCTTGGAGAGGGAGTATTTGCCTAAAAAATTAAACCAAGTCTTTGCTAATCATGTGATGTTCAAACATCAAATTTCAATGCAATCAAGCTTTATATAAAATTCAGAATAAACTTAGAAAGATCTTGAAATTAACCAGACAAAGTATTTCATTTGCTACTTGATGACACTTTAATTTCTTCCCTTTATGGCATTTTTTATTTGTTGCTACCTTACATCTGCAGGTAGCTTTTAGGACAACGGGAAGCTGTTTATCAAGAAGTGTCCTATTCCTTCCTCTCAATGTGACCACACTTCCTTATTCCTATCACTGGAATTGCAGAGAGCTGGCATTTCCCTTCACTCTGGGTGAAAGTTTGGTCATATTACAAACTTGAATCCCAGACCCTTGGATCGGTAGTCAGTATCCCTAATCACTGAGCCATCCTCACTGGGATCACCCTACTTTTCCAGGAACACCTGGGCTCAGTTTAATTTCATTTAAATTTCATTAAACACAACTAATATTATAACATCAATTACAGAGAAACATAACATAGCTTTAATTTCAGGGCAACCAAATATCAAACTAATGACAATGGTTTCATTAAGTTGAAAATCCTATCCCTAATGGAAAGTTGGAAGTTTCTCAATTGAGATTTGGCTATCTGGAGGTGATTGGACTGTCATTCCTACCTATATACCAATCTGCAAAGCGGGGCAGTTCTCAACAAGATCTTGTGTGTGTGCAAAAGCAAATATAAATGTGTGCATGTGTGAAAGAGTGCTGACAAAGTGTGCAATGTGTGCAGTTTCAGTTTTTGTGTGCAGTTTCTGTAGTCACTGGATTACATTTGAAAGCTTTGAGCACTAAAAAGTAAACAGAGCATGTTTCGCTTCCAACATTCATGCTAGGCCATCAATGTCGTCTTCAATGATTGGGGAATGAGGAAAAACTCATCAGAAATATTTTACATGTATTTGACTTTTCAACTTTAAATTGCTTATCATTCCTTTTATATTTATTAGCAAATTTCTCTTCGTGCAAAAGAAAATAAGGAAATACAAATCGCTGTTTTGGATTATCCGAACCGGATTATCCAATTTGAAAAGGGGGGATCTGTTGCTGAATTTGTAAAGATAGTTGAATAATCACCAGGTATAATGTCTAAATTAATGAGAAGTTATTAGATGACAGATTTGGTCTGTATTATGCTAAAAGAGAAAAATATCTTTTATTTTGAAAATAAATTTCATCTTTTTGGTCAGTCATCCAAATAAAACATCAAAACCCCCCAAATTGGGATTAATGGGCAGCATTCAAATAGGTTTGTCTACGGCCATCTGAAAAGCTCAGACTCGAAGTCAGTTCTTCCAGCGCTATTTACTTTGACGACATTTGAAAGCTTCAAACTCTAAAAAGTAAACAGAGCAGGTAAAAATTGCTTCCAACAAGTGTTAGGCCATCGATATCAATGTTAGTGGTTCGGGAAACCGATGAAAAGCTCCCCAAAAATACAACTTTGAATTGCTTTTCTCTCTAAAAACAAATCACTCATTGCATAATTGTTATCAAATCTTTCTTCGGGTAAAAGGAAACAAGGAAGGAAATTAAAACTGCTCTTGTGGTCTAGCCTCTCTCGTACAAGCAGAAGGGGTCAAAGGTGATATGTTAAAGGGCAATTTCCAAAGCATAGATACTGCAACTTCTAAAACAATTTTATAAAACTCTTTTTAAAAACTTAACTTATGCTTACCGCGAATACATTATTCCACTGGCAAATAAGAGTTAGGAAGAACACAACCACAGCCTTCATGACGCTGAATGTGTTGCGGTCAAATTGCTCCTCCGTAGATACCCCAACTAGTCTCCATGATGAATAATGGGTTGCAAAAATTCAATGCTATATAATGGTGGTTATTCTAAAACTTTGCAAAACTTTTCTATTCCAAGTCAGCATCACAATAGACGCGACAATGCGACACCTTCAGTCAAAATAAATTTTAGATACAGTTTCTGGCCATCCCTAAGACTCCATGATTCTAAAATCTTTCTTCCCGCCAATCATGGTGGCGGCTTTTCTTAAGCCCTTTCAAGACGTTTATATTTTGGCCATTCCACTTTCAAATACGTTTCGCCGGCCCTGTCTAGTAGAGTTAAAATAGGGCATAAGGATCACAGATTTTTTATGTAAACAATAGCAACATGATCGACTGTAGCGAGGAAGACAAATACAAGTTCATATGTTCATATGTTCATATTCAATCCAACAACTGACTTTACAATCTAGATCTAATCATTCTATACAACATCACAGTTTGTTAATCAACACATCAAGACAGAACAACAGACATACTGTACAAACAACAGAGTACAAAGATTCAGATAGAGACGATGACATTATTAAATTACATACAATAACAATCAGTTTCGGGGAAGCACATGCTACACTACGGAGAACATCGGTCATTACCGTTAGGTTTTACTTGAAAGAGAACAACAAACGTGTCAGATTCATGCATAATATTATTTCAACTCCCTGAAATAATTCAAAAATTGCTAAGCAACTTTTGCAAAATGCTTATTCATGAATCTAAAACCCTTTTGTATTTACATTTGTCTTAGCTAACATACCACCTTCCACTGAGAAGCTATGATTCAAACGTCCGGAACAGGAAGGGAATATTCTCAGACAATCTGAATATCAGCCTTACCAAAAATGTCTTTACCCAATCTGACTAAAAGGACAATGTAGATTCCAAATCCCAGATATATTATTTGAAATTTTGACCGGAAGTCGCAGATTTTGATGACGTCATTAAGCCACAAAAACCGACACATTTAACAGTTTAACAGCTTAGCTGTAGAAATACATATTTACAATCAGCATTTAACAAAGATTCGAATGATATATAACTTAATTACATTTGCACGCATCAGCTATTTGAATGATGACGTCATCATCTTACTGAACTTTCGCTAAAGGCTAGCTAGTATCTTAAGCCTGGAGCCCATATTCAAGACTCTTTGCTAAATTAATCCTTGAAAACATAAAGTGCACGGAATAATTTGTTTCATCAACTTGCTTATGCACTAGTTATTTGGGTGATGACGTCACCATGTTAGTGCGACAATCACAGAATCACTACAAATATATAAATTCTAAATTTATACACTGCCTGTATTAGATATTTGCTAAATATATTTTTAAGCAGAATTATGCAATATTATCTATAAAATCAGCCAGTAAATCATATTTATATAAAGCAAAGAAATTGCATATTTAAAATACAAATGTTTGCGTCTGACCAATACGATTATATTAGAAGGTTTTCAGGTATTACTTTTAAAGCTAAATGAACAAAAAGAGACACAAAAAAGCAAAACGAACAACTGATATATTTACTCAAGGAGTTACTCATAGTACCCTCCAATGAAATGAAAAATAAAGAAACCAGCTCTCCTAGATGATGCTCTAGTAATCGAAGAAAAGTGCTTGCAAATGTACATGGGAATAATCTGGTCATAGTTAGAAAACATTAGGGAAGATATCTATGTTGCATTTTTCAAGAGTTCCAAAATTTCTCTATTAGGTTGTATTTGACGAGGTGTTTGAGTCAACAGGAATCTTTCATACAATGTGACCAAAAAGAGTGAAAACTAACAGGAGAGCTGCAATCATCAGTGATGGTGCTTTGGCTGAAAGAAATAAAAAACTCATATATGAAGGCTTGGTGAACAGAGTAGACTAAATGAGGGTTTTTACTTTGTATTGCTATACCTATGGAGATACGCAAATAAGTATATCAGATAAAATAAAATTAGATGACTAACGAAATAAAAAATAAAGTATTCCCTACATACGATACAATATTCCTATTCATTTTTCATTGCAAAAATATTTGTGATTCATTCTCGAAGAATAACAATGCGACAAAGATAAAAATTGGATGGCTTACTTGATGCACTTCCACAAGGTTTCGAGTTTTTGTTAGTGCAAGGATCTGTAGAAGTTAATAGTGATGTTGACCTTGTGAACATGGACGACGAAGATTGTTCAAAATTGGATGTTGCAGACTTGTCTGTTGAATTTAATTATAATGCTGGTGGCTTTCTTCATGTTTATAAATTCTTCATTAATAAAATATTTTGGTAGCAAGATTACTTTAGGCATTATGATAGAAGACATAGGTCTACCATCATCCAGGCATGAAAATGATGACTTCAAAAAGAGAAAGTTTATACAAGTAAATGAACAGTTGATACCAATAAAGAGAGAAAACTGTGAAAAAGAGCTGATTGTGATACGTAAAATGGTAAAAAAGGAAATGTAAAGCAGTAATTGAAAGCAGAAAATGAATACGCAGAGATTTTCTGCGATTTTTTTATAGTGTGAGAATAACATACTGGTGGTTGGTGGTGATGCTGTGCTTGTTTGGTTTATCTTGATCTGCGATGCAACTACTGTGTTTCCAGCCATAGGAGCACTGGCAGTACCATATAACTTCACTGACCAGTTGTACAAGGTACCTATCAATGATGTACATTTGTCTCTTAAAAGGTGTTTATATACAGTGTGTGACCATCTATATCTGAAGTATAAAATACAATGAATAATTTCACAAAAAAACTGGCTGTAGTAAAATATAACGAATGCATATTTTTGCTTTGGAGGGAATTTTACCAATATATGACAATATCCAAGAAACAAATGTTTACCATTTTGTTTTGGATCTGGTTTGACATTTCTCAACCTAATTTGCCATCTTCCTCGAGGTATTTCTCCCCAAAACTGTAAGGACTTCACTGACAAGTTTTTTATCTCCTGAAGTGAATCAAAGTATCTTCCTGCAAGAGAAACAATCCCTTATTATATTTATACATAAGTACAGATTTAGTTCCTATCAACAAATGATCTCTTATTTTGATTTTCCTTGGAGATCAATGTAACGAGAATATAAATTGAGCAAATAAACGTGCATTATAAATTCTGTTTGTTGATCACGAAACAAACTTAACGAAACTAATGAAATAGCTGTCAACACAAAAGATTAATTGCAGAGATATACAAATCGCTATCATATTCTTTTTACTTGATGGAGAGTCAAAGAAACAAAAATCCAAATTATATTTTCTTTCAAATGTGCTTTGTCTTTATTTATCGACGTAGAGCATGCTGAACGACATTGTGAATAAAACATGATCGAGGTATGGTGGGTGACCAGTATAATAATCAAGTCATGGGCGTAGCATCTGCTAAATGTTTAGGGGGGGGGGTTGAGACAAAATTGCCTGGATATAGCCTGAAATGCCATATAATTTTCCTAAATTGGTGAAATGCAGCCCTCCCAGCTCATATGTCTTCTACACCTATGTATCCAATCACCCTAGGTTCATTGTCTGACGATGTTTATATTGCAACGTAGCAATAAAGTAGTATGTTGCCATAAACAGTTAGTTTACAGTCTGTCCAAAAATAGAGGCAGATTGATGCAGATTGAGTATTGAGATGTTGGGGTCTGCTCTCAGTTGTGTAGCATCAAAAAATAGCTATTAAGGTCTTAATATATCCTGTGTTGAATCACCTGAGCGTAAAAGAACAGATTTGCTTCCACCAGGGCTTTCAATTTCAATTTCAATGTTGGCTCGAAAGGTGAAATTCAAGGAGAACTGCAAGACAACATGCTCGAGAAAGTTGATCTTTTTGCCTTCTCCCCCACAGTGGCTTGGCCAAGAGGATAAATCGACCACTTCTGTTATCGTTGCAACACCGTCAATACTACAAAAAGAATGTATTGAAATGAACTGCGTTATACAGATTTAAACAGCTATCCAAATTCTTTTGAAATGTTTATATCAACATATTACGTACACAAAATGGCGGTTAAGGCTTTTCCATCGAGGTCTGTAATGGATTCTTAAAGCGCGGGGTCTGGAAAATTTGCTCTAACTGGTGCAGATGACTTCGGAATGTGTCAAAGCATAACTTATTTTTGGCCACTTATCTTGGAACTGGGAAAATTATTGGGTCGATATAAACCTTCCTTAGGACATAGAGGTAGAAAAGTGCAATTGCCCTTCTGATTTCCAAAAAGCATCAAACTTAGTTTGTATCTTCTTGATGACTGCCTTGACTGAGTAGCAAAACAGAAAGGTTCGCGCTATGGCTTTGGTTGCTTCAGTTGAAAGAGTGTGGTTCAATCTCTTTAAGTCGTACGCTAGAAAACTCGGACTTTTACTAAGTCAGACTGATTTTCAGTTCTTTTTGGATTGTCTGTGTTATAGAAGTCGAAAGTCGTTCTCCAGATTAACGGAATTCAATTGTATAAACAAATTAACCATGGAGCTTTTTTGTCTTTTAGAAGATAACGATCGCCCTCTTTAGACCAGCTGAATTCTTTCATTTTAAATATGGTAACAAACCATGATGCAACAATTTTCTTGTAAACGTCTTTTCACATCGTTCACAACACTAAAACTATATTAGGCCCGAAACGTGCAAAGAAATTGACCAACAAAGAGCACTACTTTATATGATATTCATTTTTACAAATATTCCTTTGTGAAGAACATTCTAGTTATACGTGCTTACCGCCTTGGTGTATTTGGCAATGCCATGAAGCATTCCAATTGTTGTCCGACATTTGTCCAGTTTTTGGCATTCGTTGTCAAGGCATCAGCATCCAGCAATCCAAAACCAAAATTAACACTGTCTGTAACATAAGATCTTATTGAAATAAATATACATATATTGCTGATTAAATTTTTGTAGTAATTGAGACTGCAAAAATTTCCACTGATAACCATTGAGGTTTACCAAATTTTTATGATAAGAAGGACAAAAATTCACATGACAATAAAGTTGAGTGAGTTTTTCAAGTCAATGACAATAAAAAATCAAATTGCATAAAACAGACAAATAACACTGCATAAAACAGGTGGGGCTAACGGTACAAAAACCAATCGTTATATATTAATGCTTGTATCAAACTGTATGGTCTTCAACAACGTCTAGCCCATGCAAGCTCAGAACTGGCCATAAGACTTTCAAGACAGTCTTCTCGAAACAAATTTACTATTAACAGCAAGGGCAATTGCTCATACATTTAAAACCGGCTTTGTTTGTATTCCATTGAACCGAGGAGAACTGAGAACACGAGCTTCTAGCAATCAAGTGCTGGACATCTCTCCAACCAAGATTCGGGCTAAAATGAATCAGCAGGAGTTCACAATAAGCAATAACAGATAAAGATGTAAATCAATGAAATAAAGTGCTATATTGAATTTGAAAGTATTATAGCTGGCTTGCATGTTACTGAAGAAAGGAACTGAAGGAAGGGCCTTTTTGCGGTGCAGAAAATATGAAAATGGGAAACTTGTATGAAAATATGACCCATTTCGACTCTAAGAGACTGGTGGCTTTGAATATGAAATTATTTCCAGATTCAAGAGTCCAAGATAAGAGAAAGATCTTCGGCATCTTCGGTGTAGAGTAGCCTAAATGTTCAAATAATCTTCTGTCCTATCCGAGTTTCGACCAAATTTGGCCTAAGCCATTGGCGTACCTTGGCATAGGGTTGGTGTACCACTGCACTACAACTGGAAACCGTTAAATGCTTTTCACTATACGAATATAAAAAGCATTTTCACCTTTTTCAAGTTCACCTTGTAAGCGAAATAATTTGCAAGTCAATAAGTTTACGGTCTCCTTTATTTTAGTTTTTCCAATTTCGTTACATATGTTTTTCATCATAAGCTAAAATTATGCATTGTAAAATTTTCATGTCAATGTGGAGGCTTATTGGAGGATGTTGCACTCTCAGAGCATTTTGACCTTCACTCTAGTTAAAGCCCCCCTCCCCCTCCCTGCAACTGTAACTTTTCCTTTCTGCTAAATCGCTTGAGGTCCCTGATACAAGGTAAGCGCACAATCAGATTCACAATTTCAAGATAGAATGATTACGATTAAACCGCTTCTCAGCGTACTTTGCTTGAAGGACCAATGCAATTATTCCTGCGGCAACAGCATTAGCACCAGATGATGCCCCACTATTCTCTTTGCATTTGTTTTGCAGAGCACTCGATGGCTGTAAGAGAAATTGTAGGCCAGTTTCACCTTGTGCAAAGAAAAGCCAATTTCACTTTTTAGCTTCACAATAGCATTTCATAATAAATGATAGTACTTGGAAGTTATTATAAGCCCTTGTTTCAAATAAAGAAGAAGCTTCTTACCATGCGATCATGTGGATACTTTAATCCTAGTGACAAATCTCTGGCATACGTGACAGCATGTATACAAGGACATGCCTCATCTTGCCGTGATAGTACATTCTTTCCTGTTACAACACTTATGGCAATGGTATAAACAGAGGTAACATATTCATCCAAACCGCAACTTGCATTGAACATTCCAGCATTCCCAGCAGCAAACATGTAGATACTACCCTTACCACCCCGACCCTACAAAAGAATTTTTGGCAGTTAATACCATAACACAGCTTGAACAAGCAAAACATAACATAACATAACATAACATAACATAACATAACATAACATAACATAACATAACATAACATAACATAACATAACATAACATAACATAACATAACATAACATAACATAACATAACATAACATAACATAACATAACATAACATAACATAACATAACATAACATAACATAACATAACATGACATAACGTAACATAACATGAAATAACATAACATAAAATAACATAACATAACATAACATAACATAACATAACATAACATAACATAACATAACATAACATAACATAACATAACATAACATAACATAACATAACATAACATAACATAACATAACATAACGGAACATAACAGAACATAACAAAACATAACAAAACGGAACATAACGGAACATAATGGTACAAAACGAAACATAACATAACATAACATAACGGAACATAACAAAGCATAAAAAACAATAATACCTTTTCAGTGGCATTTTTCAATGCAGCTTTGATGGGTTCCTCTACATATCCAGGAGATGATGAGAGACCAAAAGAACACAAATATATATCATTAATATGATGCGCATACTGCATCAAATGTGCAAATCTCTTTGGGTAGGATGGATCTGATGAACTGCCACGCATATGCTTGATGCCTGAATGATGAAAATAATGAACTCTTTTAGAAACTAAAATGAAATTACATTAGAAGCACGAGAATACTAGTTAGGGTTACGGTAAACATTTGTGACACAATATTTGGTTTTCTCTTCCTAAAAGCCAAACTATTAACGGAATCCGATTAGACTATACATCATTCGATGCACAAGAATTGTTGATATCAACCATATCAAAATAATTGGCAAATATAGTAAAATGATACTTTCCAGGCACATTTATTGCTTAGATGAGTGTACCACTCTTCAGAGTTTAAAACGACAGAACATAGATCGAAAACTCTACGCTAGGAAATATAAAGTTATTAACTTCAACTTCAAACATCACAAACATACAAACTTGTATAGTTATTAAGTTACGATGCAAGACCCAATATAGGACTGGGTACAAGTACAGTAGTCTAAAAATTGCTTTAGTGGAATTTTTAAAGCTGTTTTGCGTCTCATTTTATTTAACACGTCAAATAACGCCAGAAAAAATGTTTCAGTTTTATAGTTTGCAAAGTTAAAACGTTGTAGCGCTATACCTAAAAGAGGACTGGGTACCAGTACCAGTATCGAAATGCAAGAGCTTATATCTCACAAACTGTCAAAAGTTTCGAAAAACAAATAACGAATTCGTGATCAGCAGGTTCAACTCCTTTAGATTACCCAATAAAGTGCAAGTGCAAAATTTGGCTGGAGAGGCCCATTAACAGGTCAAAAGATTTTCAGACCTTAACTAAAAGCTATGATAAAGAAATTATGGAAACCTTCTTTTATATGGGATTTACTGATTAAAACAAAAATGATTAAAACTGATTCCGTAATGAACTTAAATACTTCAGGTTACAAACCTGAGAACTTGGCATCATATGCAACTCCCACTATGCATTTACCATTATTTGCTTTGGCGAGAGCTAGACCTGCCATGTCATTTCCATGCGACAATGGCCCGCTGCAACAAAATAGCATGTGTCAATATCATATATAATCAGTGATAGAAAGAATCTTAGACGTTTGTTAAATTGCCAGTGATATTTGCACTGCAATGCTGGCATTCATATCGGGCTTTAAGGGTGTAATTTCTCCTGCACAATACTATGTTAAATACAATCATTATATAGCTATTAAGAAAGGATTTTCACAAAATTAATTAAATAAAATCGTGCCGCAGTTGATATTTTTCTTACCAATTTCTGCTATTTATAGTCGTTTATACTTGCTTCTGATTGTTATCTACTTGTTTCCTATTTTTCTCCTAGTTGTTTCCTAGTTGTTTCCTAGTTGTTTTCTAGTTTTTTCTTAGTTGTTTCCTACTTGTTTCCCAGTCGTTTCTACTCATTTCCTGTTATAGTAACTGCGAGCTAAAAATTAAATAGATTGTTATTTGTAACAAAAATCAATCTGGTCATCAAGCTTTCATCAAATGAATACTCTTACTTTTTTACAACAATATTGCTGGAAACGTTGAGACTGTTAGCCAAGTGTGGATGTAATAAATGCTGCTTTGTTTCGTTTCGTTTCGTTTCGTTTCGTTTCGTTTCGTTTTGTTTCGTTTCGTTTCGTTTCGTTTCGTTTAAAGAAAGCCATCAAGAAAAAAAGCATTGCAAGATGGAATGACATAATATCATTGGTCCATTATGGGTTACCAAAAGTAATTGTGACATGCTGACAGTCAGCTTGCATTTCAGTATCTTCTTATGGGTTTTGAACATTCTAGGATTTTGAACTGCTACACTTACTCATACAGCGCAGGACTATCTGGAGTTGGATCAGAGCTATTGGTTTTGTAATCGAAACTTCCCTCGACAACCTACAACAAAGCATATGGTTTTTTTGATACAGTCAAACAGTTGAACGCAAAGTTGCCAAGTCACTGAACGGTTCATGCATTTCAGTCTCTCTTAATGCTTCTCCCTTATACTTCTCCCTATAAAAGTATAAGGGTCCTGACAAGCAACCACAACGCATTCAAAAACATCAATAATATGTTGATAACATCAAATGAAAATAACTACATAGCAAGGAAAAATTACAAAACAGACAAATAAACTATAATTTTCAATGGA